AGTTAATTTTTGTGAAGGGTATAAAGTCTGTATCTAGAGTCATTTCTTTGCAAGTGGATGTCCAGTTGTTCAAACACTATTTTTTCTCTATTATATTGCCTTCAATCCTTTGTCAAAGATCAGTTAACTATACTTACATGAGTCTATTTCTGGGCTCCCTATTCTGTTTTATTGACCTTTTTGCCTTTCCTGATCTATTGTTCTTTCACCAATACCACACTGTCTTGGTACGGTATTTGAAATACACTGCATTTGAATACAATGGATGCTACCTATATGATGTCTTAATGATTCTAAATTTAACAGAGAGTCAAGATGAGTAAGTAGAAAATAACTGGAATATTTGGAAAAAGCCAATTCTTCTTAGTTGGATAGCTTTTCTGTGAGTGGATGTATATGCTTGTAAATAAGGGCATTTTGTTATACATATGGTATAGTAATCATTTTTCCAGGAAAAAATTCTTCTAGTTCATATGATGAAATCATTTTTATCATTACAGTAGCTAACACTTGCATGGACTGCACTATCCACATTTAAGTGCATCAAACATTTATCTCATTTAATCCTCATAACAGCCCTGCAAAGTAGGTGTTAATGTTAATCCCATTGGACAGATAAGGAAACTGAGGCACAGAACGGTTAAGTCCAAGGCCACACAACTAGTAAGTGGTGTTGCCAGGATTCTAATACAGGCAGTCTGTCTCCAAAGTCTGTGCTTTTACCTACTACACTGTCAATATTCCCTGATAAACCTTAGCAGATTTTATAACCACTATTCAAATATCTCAAGCACTGTTAACAAGGTATAATAGAGCCTCAGTTTGCTTATTCTTGGATAAGAAGTATCAGGGAATGGAAGTCATAATTTACTAATATTAATACTAAATGAGATCGCTTCTCGGCCTTTTGGCTAAGATCAAGTGTAATACTAAATGAGAAATTTCAGTTCTGAATGTACCGAATTAACTAAATATTGACAGAAAAAGTTTTCAGCAGGAACAACGGTAAACTATTAGAAATCATTTGTATTCAAGTATTGCTGTGATGATCTAAATTTTAATAGTAATTTCTTCTGAGACTCTAGAAGGCTTACTGTCTTTCTCTGTACTAATTTTCTTGTAAACTGAGAAATGATTTGTGAATTGAAGAAATAAAACTTACTTTTTTATTGTCTGTGAATAAAGCCAAAGTAGAAGGTGAAGATTGTATCAGTTGAATGACTAGTTTTATACTTTCAGGGTTTTTTTTTTTTTTTTTGCGGTACGCGGGCCTCTCCCGTTGCGGAGCACAGGCTCCGGACGTGCAGGCTCAGCGGCCATGGCTCACGGGCCCAGCCGCTCCGCGGCATGTGGGATCCTCCTGGACCGGGGCACGAACCCGTGTCCCCTACATCGGCAGGCAGACTCTCAACCACTGCGCCACCAAGGAAGCCCCAGGGGGTTTTTTTGTAGTTAAAATACTATTATCTTTAGCTCTCATTCTCTAAACATGTTTAATATTTAAACTGTGGTGATAAAATCAGAAAGGACACATACTTCTGTAAAAATAATTTCTCTGTACTTATTAAAGCATAATATCCCAAATAAGGACGTTTTATTAAAGTTATTAAAAATGAAATGTAATGTCATTAGAATATTTACTTAATTCTGGCCCTCGACTCCCTAAAAGAGAGTGATACACTTCCCTCAAATATATTATTAAGCACAAAAGTTTTGTTGCTATTAACTTTTATAAACAAAATAATAAACATACTTAAGTTTTATGATTTTATTGAAAAAATTAAAATCATTTCTTTAAAATACATTGTAACTTGTCTTTCAGTTAGAGATGAACCACGTCTACCCCAGCATGAGAACTTGACCTTGTAAACTATAAACATTAAAAAGAAGAATCTCACTCTTTGTAATTTTCTTTTAATAAAGGGAAGAGAATTGTGTTTTCATGGAATAATCTCATCAATGTTTGAGTAATAAAAATACAAACACTAATTTCATATCCTTGTTAAAAATATAGCAGCCTTAAAGAAATTAAAGAAAAAAAAAAGGGTGTTCCTAACTCGTTAGTTTTTGTTCTCTTCAAATTTTCTGCCACACATACACATACCTATAAAATTAAATAAGCACTGATTTATGTGATTTTTAAACAGTGTTTCAAATAGACTTATTATGTAATTTTTTTGTTTTTATTTTTACTTTTAAAAGCACACTTATTAGATGAGCTTTGCTTACATCTCTGCTCCATTTTCCCTACAGGCTGCCATTACTTTTTGCTTTACACACTCTATTTTTGTCATGATAATTATTTACAGGGATGACAATTGCTCTTGCGCCCCCCCATCCCCCCCAAAACAACAACCCACATTCATCTCATCTCAAACAAACTTGGATGAAGAAGATTGAATGTAAAGTGATTGTGTAATGGATTTTCAACTTTTAAGTGTATGTAAGAGTAAAATGTCTCTCAAGTACTATGTAGTATAATAATGACCACATTGATCCATTACCCTATTGCGTGTAATTGCAATGGGTATATTTGTATATATAATTTTTTCTTTGAATTATTTCTTAAGAAATTTCCAGGTATATTTACAGTGCTTCTAAAATCATTTTAAATAACCATTCCCAAATGTTTGAAAGAATTATTTACACTGCTCATTTTACCAAAACCTAGCTAGATTATTTTACCAAAACCTAGCTAGATTATTTTACTATTTAAAGTCTTAAAATTATAATTTCTTCCGTATTAACTTGGAATTTCCAAGTTGAGGGGAATTCTTGCATTTCAACACTACTACTATAATCCTTTTGTGTGCTTATGATATTTGAAAAAAAATATGAAAATCCTTTATCACCGTTCTCTATGTGTGAAGAGCCAGATTTCTTTCCATTTGTTAACATGTAATGCATTTTTCAGAGATGTGAAAGATCTAGCCTTTGGGTTCTGAAATCAGTTAATATGTCAAGTCCTGATAATATTTCTGGCTCTTTGAAAAATGAAAATGATTGAATCAGATAAGAATCTGTTTTTTTTTTAGTTCCCAGCATTACCCACCAGAACAATTCAGAATTTTCATATTACTATACCAGTGTTCTTTGGTAATAAATATTTAAAGGAACTCTCTTGGAAATTAATTCTAGAATAGATGATTTTTATTATATTTTTACTCTACTCTCAATGCTGATCATTGCGCTGGATTCCAACTTGCAATATGCTTTTTTAAAAAGCAGGAGTCTTAAGGTGACTTTGGATATTAGCATTTTTCCTTAAGTTTTCTGGATTTGAAAGTTTATCTTTTGACATTGACTATTCCTTGGTGGGACTAAAAAAAATTGCTGAATAGCTGACAAACCTCTGTAACCTGTAAGTAGGCTAGATAAATACGATACCTTTCTATACCAAGGTGTTTCTAGAGTTTTGAGAAATAGTAAATCCTAGCTGTCAAAATGCACAAAGAGGAACATTATGAAAGAATTGCTGAATCATTAATGTAAGGCTGATTGGTGTATAGAGTAGGTGTTCCCATATTTTTAAAGGTTAGTATGTGATCACCACCCTTTCTTTATACTCTAAACATACAGGTACATTTACTTTTTCTCATAACTGTTCTGTTTTCTTTTAATTTTACAGACTTAAGATATTCAATACAGTGCTCTGTACAATTCTTTTGACATTTTCTTATGTCACACTAACATTTAGCAGCGATTACCTAAAGTGGTATGATAGGAAGGTTTTGTTTTGTTTTGTTATTTATTTATTTATTTTTGGCTGTGCTGGGTCTTCGTTGCTGCGCTCAGTCTTTCTCTAGTTGTGGCAAGTGGGGGCTACTCCTCATTGCGATGCACGGGTTTCTCACTGCGGTGGCTTCTCTTGTTGCAGAACACGGGCTCTAGGCACGCGGGCTTCAGTAGTTGTGGCATACGGGCTCAGTAGCTGTGGCTCGCGGGCTCTAGAGCACAGGCTCAGTAGTTGTGGCACACAGGCTTAGCTGCTCTGCTGCATGTGGGGTTTTCCTGGACCAGGGCTCAAACCCGTGTCCCCTGCATTGGTAGGCAGGTTCTTAACCACTGCGCTGCGCCACCAGGGAAGCCCAGGAAGGTTTTTATTTTATTCTTTTTTCTTTCTGTGTTTTCCAAAATCTTCAGTTAGCATTTATATTTATAATTAGGGAAACTGTGGGTTTTTTTGTTTTTGTTTTGTTTTGTTTTGTTGCGGTACGCGGGCCTCTCACTGTTGTGGCCTCTCCCGTTGCGGAGCACAGGCTCTGGACGCGCAGGCTCAGCGGCCATGGCTCACGGGTCCAGCCGCTCCGCGGCATGTGGGATCTTCCCGGACCGGGGCACGAACCCGTGTCCCCTGCATCGGCAGGCGGACTCTCAACCACTGTACCACCAGGGAAAACCGGGAAAGTGTGTTTTTAAAAGAAAAAATATCTCTCATATTATGCCTCATAAATAGCATATCCAGATTTTAAGCTGATCCAGTTAAAGTCTTAAAAGAAACATGAGTTTTTACTGTCTGTAACCTGATACTTTCTCCTATCATTCCTGAAGCAAGACAAAAATTCTTTAAATAGTGACCCTAGGAGTGGGGAGGGCAGATCTCATTCTGTTTTAGTTGAAGTAACTAAAATCAGATATGAAGCTTTCAGAAGTTATTAGTTTGCCTGAACTATTAACTCTTCTATACTACAAAAAAAAGAGTTAAAATCATCAGCTAAAGTCATATTTAAGTCCTTTACTGACTTTAAAACCTTGCTTTTGATATTTATGATATGTAGACTTTTACAATGCCAAATTCCTGGCATTTCTGATTGATAGACCCTAGGAATTTTGAAAATGACACAAATTATTTGACAATTTTAATTTAAACAAACCATATTTTAGTATTGTATACCTTACATTTGAATAACTTGAAGTTGAGATTAATATACCTAAAATAAGTATTTTTATTTGTATAATAACTTTAACTTATTTTAATGGTAAGATACTTAATGGCTATAATGATTTTTTTGTTGCTTTCTTACCTAGAATGGAGTAAATAAATGTGTAGTTAGGACATTCTGTGCTGAAATATTGGTTTCTTAATCCACTTGGCCTCTTAAAAAGGACATAAAAATGGTAGAGCCAGAAGGAAAATGAATAGTTAATCGTGGAGGAGGAGAAAACCCAGCTCAATACTTTGACTAGAGGCAGCTGGGGAAGTGACGTCCTGTAGCATTTGCTGTTCTAGAAAGTACAGAGACACGTAGTGAAAATGGGAGGATCTAGAAGGAGGCCGTCTCCTGTGTAGTGTATATTTATCTGTAAGTGAGCTGGTGGGGAAGGAATTAAATACAGAGACACTGTCTGCGTGCTGCCTTAAGACAGCAAAGCTGAATTGCTGATTTGCTTTAACTTTTAAAATACCCAGCTTGGTTTATTTTTCTTAGAATCATTGTATTGCTAAGACTGGGGACGCTGTTTTCTTTCACAAAGGGAATCTAAGTTCATTTCAAGGCATTCGAAATGGGGAAAGACTATTATTGCATTTTGGGAATTGAAAAAGGAGCTTCAGATGAAGATATTAAAAAGGCTTACCGAAAACAAGCCCTCAGATTTCATCCGGACAAGAACAAATCTCCTCAGGCAGAGGAAAAATTTAAAGAGGTCGCAGAAGCTTATGAAGTATTGAGTGATCCTAAAAAGAGAGAAATATATGATCAGTTTGGGGAGGAAGGTAAGTATTCAGTGTACATCTTTCTGGTTCTCCAGCTCTGTCTCTCTTTTTTCTCTCTCAGCCTTCTGGTTATTAAATTAAATTCTCTGACATTTCAAAAGTAGAAAGACAAATAATGGATGAAAACAAGATTTCATCTCTGATCATATGAATGAATGTTATATAGCTATGAATGAAATGTATTTGTTTGCCTTTTTTTGGATTTTGACATTTTGTAATATGTATATTCTACCATTAGATTTATAATGTTAACATTATATTTGAAAAGAAACCTTAAATTCCCATACTCATTAAGAAATTGTGTCAAAAGTCTTATGCAACCTGTTTTGTTTTCTAAAGAATTTTCTGTCAGAACCAGTAAAGATTCTTTAGTCATTTAAAATCTTAAGATTGGCAGTTCAAATTCTGGGTAGTTTATATTTTATTCACAAAAACAAAAGAAGTTTTTTGCCTTTCTTATGGCAAAGCTAGTTTAAATTAAACAGGACAGAATCGTCTCTCTGAGAAGCCGAAGGCCCAGGCATTTAGCTGTAGTTGTTTTTGGCATTCTGCCTGGAGAGGAAAGAATTTTCCTGATGTCATAAAATACCAGAACAAGTTTTTAGCTTAATTGTAAACAGTAATTGTGTGCCAAGAAAATGAGATCTCAGAAATATAATTTTTTGACCTAAAATGGCCACCTAGTTAGAACAATTATTGATTTACTTTAAGGTAACATTATTTCTTTTAAAATTTTACTATCTAGGTATAGAGGAAGGCATGATAACTTCCCTTTCCTCTCCCTGCCACACTTTTGTTTCTTGGATTGTGAGATCAGAAACTAGTTGAATACAGTAAATGGGAATAATTGAAGATTATCCTTTTATCATTCTGGATTTTAAAGTGTTTATCCATCATCTCCATATAATTGTAGCTATAAAGTAAGACTATTTTAAATCGCTAATTTAACAACAACACTTCAATTTCTACAGGTTCTGGGATTTTCAACGTTTTATATCAGGACTAAGTTGTTTTATTACTAATTTTTCTCCCCAGATGTTTTTTTTTAAATCATTGTAGTTATGAAAACTTTTTTCGGGTTTTTTGCTTCCTTTATTGCATTTAATGTTAAATTTTCCTAATTAGAAATATAGCCTAAAGTATAGTGAAGTAGCGACTGCTTATTTTGAGTTAAAACATTAAATTTAGATAAGCAGGGTGATTGTGTAGAGGGTTTTTTGTTGTTGTTTTTTGTTTTTGATCTGAGTTGCCCCAAATTGCAGTTTCTGCTGCCAGTTTTGGTGTGATGAGGACCTGCAGTGTCAGGTTCTTACAAAGTAAATATTGAAAAAAGCAAATAGTGGGCAGTTCAATCCTGTTGGTTCCTTATGGCCATACTACTCAAAATACTATGATTTGGTTCTTCTCAAAACCTAAGCAGGATTCTGAGATACTACTAACCATATACTACTCTTTCTGAAGAAGTTATTTTGTAATTTTGTAAAGAAATCTACAAACATGCAGTAACACAATAAATTCCCATGAAAAAGCAAATATCCACTGATTTAATCCCCATCTCACAAATAGCTCAAATCTCTCTATAACTAAACCATAAGATTCAGTGTTTACTAAGGATATTTGCAGAATTTTCAAGTCACCAAATGATACATTTTTCTTGGCTTAATATTACCTCTTAATAGTGTTTTTCTTGGGTGATATTTCTCCAGTTTGATTTTTACTGAGCATCACCAGTGAGTGAATTTAAAAAAGACTAAAACAGGATCATGTGTGTACCCCAAATCTTTTTTTGTTCTTGACTCAGGTAATTGATGTAAGCAATAGATGTAATAGGGAAGAATAAGTTTTTTAAAGCATTGAAATATATTATTCAGAAATATCATTCTCTAGTTATGTTACTTTAAAATACAGTTAAATGAAAGTTATTCGATTATGTTTTAGAAATTATCTTCCTTTACAGAAAAGCATTATATTTACTTATCCTTTATTTAAAATACCTGGTTACGTATACTGTTAAAATGTGGGGAAATACTTTTTGTCTTTGCCTGTCATTGATCTGTTTGTGCCTGCAGGCCTGGTTCCATAGCCCTATGTGTTTCTCTAGAAGTAACATAACAATAATTTTAGGACTGTGGGGCCATTACTAATTTACCTGATATACTTTTTTCCCCCAATTATTGCATTCTTTTGCAAGGCCTGAGACTGTGGAAATAAGGAACCGTGAACTGAGAATTGTATGAGTTGAACATGCTAATTTATATATTTAGGACCTACCAGAACCAGTGATCCCAGTATATTTGTGTTTTGAAAATCTCTAATATCCACAATTTTATTTTTTTTATATCTACTTGGTTGTGTTTTTTTTTTTTTTTTTAATTCATTTATTTGGTTGCGTTGGATCTTTGTTGCTGCTCGCGGGCTTTCTCTAGTTGCGGAGAGCAGGGGCTCCTCTTTGTTGCGGTGCTCAGGCTTCTCACTGCGGTGGCTTCTCTTGTTGCGGAGCACCAGCTCTAGGCGTGCGGGCTTCAGTAGTTGCGGCGCACAGGCCCAGTGGTTGTGGCTCTTGGGCTCCAGAGCTCAGGCTCAGTATTTGTGGCGCACGGGCTTAGTTGCTCTGCAGCATGTGGGATATTCCCGGACCAGGGATTGAACCCGTGTCCCCTGCATTGGCAGGCGGACTCCTAACCAGTGAGCCATCAGGGAAGCCCCTCTAATATCCACAATTTTAAATTCTGAGTTTTTTAAAGGTTGAATAAAAATAGAGATGTTTTGAAAGTATCATATGACCCAGCATTTCCACTCCTAGGAATCTGTAAAAGAGAAATGAAAATATAGGTCCATAGAAAGACATGTACGTGAGTGTTCACAGCAGCACCATTTGTGATGGCCCCAAATGAAAAAATCCGAAAGTATCATCTTTTAGTGAATGGATAAAATGTGTTGTATATGTATACACACACACACACACACAAATACTACTTAGCAATTAAAAGAACTGATTTAATAAAACATGTTACTAAATGGAATAACCTCATGAACTATGCTAAAAAAGTCAGATATAAATGACTACATATTCTGTTACTCCATTTATATGAAATGCATGGATAAGGCAGATTTATAGAGAAAGATAGCACATCAGTGGTTGCCTAGGGCTAGAGGTGGGAGCAGGGATTAACTACAAATAGAAATGAAAGAACTCTTTGGGTTGATGGAAATGTTTTATAACTGGATTGTAGTGATGGTTGCACAATTCTACAACTTCACTAAAACTGTATATTTACAATGGGTTAATTTTATTGTATGTAATAAATAAAACTATTTTTCCATATAGAGACGTTTCTCCATAGTTGAATCATTTGAAACAAAAAACAGAACTACAGAAATTGAAAATTGGATTTTGATCCAGTCTCTCCCCTAAAGTTTTAGGTTTAGTTCTGAATTGTTCCGTGATGTCAACAGAAGTTTATATTAAAAGACTTAAAAAAAAAAAAAAGATTTTCAATAACACATTTTCATAGTAGTCTAGTTTTCTAACATTTCTTTTTCCTTATGCCTTCTTTTTTTATTGTTTATGTTTTACTCAATAACTTAAATACTGAAAGTTAGTATTTATATGATCAAATTTGTGTTTAGTATATTAATCTTTATACTAGCTTGCAGCTTCTGTTCTTCATATAGTTAATCAACTGAATTTATTTACTATATATTTTTTTAAATGAGTATTTACTCATTTTTTGTATTTTTATGAATCAAAGCTGTCTAAAGAATTTCATTATGCTAGTTAACTCTGTAAGTATTTTTTATAAATCTGGGTTCTTACATATTAGATCTCCTTAAAGAAAGTTTTTAAAGTCCTATAATTTTTTTTCTTTGAAATCCTAATTCTTCTCCAATGCTGCTGCTTTTGATAAACTTTTAATCAACTAACTAACGGATATCATTGTTATGGATAGTATCCCAGACACATAATTGTTTCTGGATTGCAAATTGGTTGATTGGTTGTTTTTTAAATAATAGCTGTCGGTACAGCATACATAAATGTTGACTCTGGGGTGCATTTCTTGCTCACACGAGTGATGATGATGTCTAGAAAAAATTTTGGATAGCAGAGGGAATCTAGCTGAATATTAAAATTTTCCATGAGCAGTCAGAATGTATGTAGTGAAGAGTTGACTCTGTAGTTGATGACAGGCTTGTTCCAATTCAAGTGCCGGGCAATGCAAGTGATACTTGCATAATAATTCATGTTGTATTGGTGTGAATTTTGGTAGGATTTTTCTCAGTCATAGAGGATACGTAGTTGACTGTTTAGTGTCAAAGCTGCATTGTTAGCTGTTAGCTTTGATAAACGTCACTTCAGACAGTGTGTGAATCTTCTCAGCGACTCTGTAATCCTGATTGAGTTACCATTTTTGGCAGAGGAAGGAAGGGCTTTTAGAGAAAAACCAAACCCATGATGTAATAACTTAAAATGTTGTTCTTTCTTTTCATGAATCCATTATAGGTCCAAAACATTTAGATTTTGTCTTGTAGAGGGTTAGACTGGGCAGGCTAATTCACTCAATTTACTTTATTAACTCTGTTAAATTATTATACTCTATTTGTGGGATGAAAGATGAAGTGATTGAAATAATTTAGCATTGGTTTAATCACATTGGTAATGACCTTGAGTTATATGATATATATATATATCATTAAAAAAATCTGCCACTAGCTTTTTTTAACATTTGGAGTTATAACTATACCACTAAAATTTATAAAGAGAAGTTTTGGATGAGCTGTGTGTTAAAAGTTCTTGTCCTGCTTGTACTTGTCATTCTGATTCTACAAGGCATATCCCTGAGTGCTATTTGGATATATCATCCAATACATATATTGACAATTTTCAAATTGTTAGATTTCTTTTTGTGTCTCCAGATTTCTATTCACGGATGAAGGTAAAAATTTAAACATCATCTGACACTGTTGGATGAAGTAGAGTACATGTATACCTTTTAGTGGAAGTTGCCAAATAGAATAAGACACGTAAAACTCTGTGAAATCATGCTGAGTGACTTCAGTAGAATTTTTTATTATTAAATTTCTCATATATGTGTATGTGTGATTATACTTTATATTGTTTTTGCTTCTGCCTTTTCTCAAATATCTTGACACTCAAAATACATTTTAAAGTTTATTTTTGGAGGCTTTAAGAATTAGTTCATTCCCTTTATTCAATAAACATGAGCGGGGCTTCCCTGGTGGCGCAGTGGTTGAGAGTCTGCCTGCCAATGTGGGGGGCACGGGTTCGAGCCCTGGTCTGCGAGGATCCCACATGCCGTGGAGCAACTGGGCCCGTGAGCCACAACTACTGAGCCTGCGCATCTGGAGCCTGTGCTCCACAACAAGAGAGGCCGCGATAGTGAGAGGCCCGCGCACCCGATGAAGAGTGGCCCTCATTCGCTGCAACTAGAGAAAGCCCTCACACAGAAACAAAGACCCAGCACAGCCAAATATAAATAAATAAATTTAAATAAATAAATAAACATGAGCGCCTGTCATTTTCAGACCTGTATGCATGAGCAATGCAAAAATGAATAAAATGTATTTCTTGCCCTCAAATTGGTCACTGCTTAAATATATTGGAATCACTTAAATTCTCTTGAATTTTTCTTTACAGTTTCATAATTTTTATATTCTTTTCCTGCTTGTTTCCTTGGTCAGGAATGCCCATAAGGCTCATTCAGAAACTTTGCTGATACTGTAATGATATAAATCCTTGTCAGCATTGATCCCTTAAAAGATCACTATACTGTTGTTCTGTGGGTTTCAGTAGAATCTTCCTTCAGTATGTAGTAGAAAATGCTACTTCAAATATGTAATCTCTTGTGAGCTACTTATTACTTAGTTGAGCTTAAAAAAGAGGATCAAAGGGTCACTATCTTGGGGTCTGAAGCAGGTTGTCCATAATAGACAGAAATAACCAGCCCAAAGGCCTTACATGTCAAAAGAGTTCACAGCTCATGATTTCAGTCTTTTCACGTGCTGTTGAAATTAATGCTATCACATGGTATGCCTAGATAAAGAATTTCGTTATCTAGGATAGGATAACAATTTTAGTGTCTAAAATTTTTTTTCATAGGGTTTTCTGTTATTAGAATTTTTTCCCTTTCTGCCACAAATGAGTTCTATTTAATTCTTAAACAGTGAAAGGTGATCTGAAATACAGATAGTTAGTATAAATATGGTATTTTATATTATTGATTTGTGCTGACTGATTATAATGGTACTCAAAGATTTAGGTAACGTATTTTGCATTGATTACTGAAGACCTTTCAATTGACATCTTTTATTTTTTATTATTATTATTTTTCTATTTTATTGAAGTATAGTTGATTTACAATGTTGTGTTAATTTCTGCTATACAGCAAAGTAATTCAGTTATATATATATATATATATTCTTTTTTATATTCTTTTCCATTATGGCTTATCACAGGATATTGAATACAGTTCCCTGTGCTATACAGTAGGACCTTGTTGTTTATCCATCCTATATATACTAGTTTGCATCTGCTAATCCCGAATTCCCAATTCTTCCCTCCCCCACCCCTTGAATGACATCTTTTAAAAACTTACATTTATATACTTTAGGTTATCAAACCAGTAGCTTATGAGATAAGAGGTTCCCGATTTTTATTTATTTTCTTTTTACCTGTGGAACAAAGACTCAGGAATAATTTATCATTAAAGATGGGGTTTGGGGCTTCCCTGGTGGCGCAGCGGTTAAGAATCCGCCTGCCAGTGCAGGGGACACGGCTTCGAGCCCTGGTTCGGGAGGGTCCCACATGCTGCGGAGCAACTAAGCCCGTGCGCCAGAACTACTGAGTCTGCGCTCTGGAGTCCATGCTCCGCAACAAGAGGAGCCACCGCAATGAAAAATAGCCCCTGCTCTCCGCAACTAGAGAGGGCCCACCTTCAGCAACAAAGACCCAACGCAGCCAAAAATAAATAAAATGAAGTTTTTTAAAAAAACAAACAAACCAGTTTAAAAAAAAAAAAGATGGGGTTTGGAAGAAGAATTTGAAAGATAAAAATTTAACTTAGGGTGGAATGATTGGAAGTTATGTAGCTGTTCTGTATTCAGTTATAATGGCATTTCTGGTCAATATTAATAAATAGCAACCTAAGTTAGCCAAAGTTTATTAGTAATACAGTTGTTGAAAGTTTAACTTTCAAGAGTTGTAAGCATTTTTCTAATCATGCTTATCTCTTCATTTAGGGTTGAAAGGAGGGGCAGGAGGTACTGATGGACAAGGAGGTACCTTCCGGTACACCTTTCATGGCGATCCTCATGCCACATTTGCAGCATTTTTCGGAGGTTCCAACCCCTTTGAAATTTTCTTTGGAAGACGGATGGGTGGTGGTAGAGATTCTGATGAAATGGAAGTAGATGGAGATCCTTTTAGCGCCTTTGGATTCAGCATGAATGGATATCCAAGAGACAGGAATTCTGTGGGACCATCCCGCCTCAAACAAGATCCTCCAGTTATTCATGAACTTAGAGTATCACTTGAAGAAATATATAGTGGTTGTACCAAACGGATGAAAATTTCTCGAAAAAGGTTAAACCCTGATGGAAGGAGTTATCGAACTGAGGACAAAATTCTTACCATCGAGATAAAAAAAGGGTGGAAAGAAGGTACCAAAATTACTTTTCCAAGGGAAGGAGATGAAACACCAACTAGTATTCCAGCAGACATTGTTTTTGTCATTAAAGATAAAGATCACCCCAAATTCAAAAGGGATGGATCAAATATAATTTATACTGCTAGAATTAGTTTACGAGAGGTAAGTTGGTAGGACATAGGATTCTGAAACCAAACAGAATTATGCATGTGATCTTAGAGCATTTATCTAAATAATAGCTAACATTAATTTTATGTTTACTACACAATATTTTTAAAATTATCATAAGAACCTTCTGAGGTAGTACCACTATTATACCTCATTTATGGATAAGATTATACTTTCTAAGTTTATTTATTTATACTAACAATTTAAATCACAATTTTAAGTGAATTATATACTATGAGGCCTAGTCTGGATTAACTCTGTTTTTTACAAGTATGGTTTATGAGATCTGTACTGTAATCTCATCACCTTAGTCCATGTATAGAATTTTTCCAAAATTGTTAACTTGGGTTAATAATTATATAACAAAAAAAGTATTAAAAGACAAAATAATTTATGAGGGTACTGCTTTAATACATTAGTTCGTATTTGTTCTATTTTTAGGCATTCTTTCTCAAATTGGATTGTAATCCTGCAAATAAGGCCATATCAGTTCCCTGCTTAAAATTCTTAAATGACTCCACATAGCATCTACCATAATGTCTAAACTCTTTATCTTAAAATAAAAGGTTGTTTTTAATCTGATTTCTAACCCTCAATGTATATGCATTTCCCTAAGTTTGATGTATTATTATCTCATATACCTCTGTGTCATTGTCTGAGCTGTACTCTGTGGAACACTGCTGTTCCTCACTCTACCTCAACACCTGCTACTGGTCCAATGCTTACCCCAAACTTACCCCCTGAAGCTAAGGGGGTAGGTTGGGTGCCCTTTCTCTCACAAAAGACTTCTGCACATACTTCTGTGCCAACTTTGTACTGTATTATAATTACTAGTTTGCTTCTGAATTCTTTGTGCGTTCCTTGAGGTGGGGTCTGTGTGCATGGTCCCTATGTGCTCAGGCTCTAACAGGAATATATGGCATATAGTAGGTACTCAGTAAATATTTATTGACTAAAACATTAAGTATATTTCTTGTCCTAACATTTTCCCTCTAGAGAAGTTTGTAGTTGCTCCTATCTTATTCTTTCTAGTCCTGAATTTCTCCCTCTTCTCTTCTCCCATTCCATCCCTGCATCTTGAATGTTGTAATAGCAGCCTCAGACAATCCATTTCATTCCAGGGCAATGTGAAAGACATTCTTTCCTCCGTTTTTCCTTTTCTTTTCCTTCCCCTTCTCCTTTCCTTCTTTTGTAAAATGTCTGATTATATGTGTCCTGAAGGGACTTTCTAATGTGGAAAAAGTCTTATAATTATTGATATTCTTTTGGAGGTTAAAAATTTGCCTTAGAGGTATCGTCCTTTACAGCTGGTAATATTTTTGATTAGACTTTTACGTTTTGAAATTTGTTAATTTTATTTGGTCCATTTTAGGCATTGTGTGGCTGCTCATTTAATGTGCCAACAATGGATGGAAGAACCATACCTATGACAATAAATGATATTGTGAAACCTGGAATGAGGCGAAGAATTATCGGATATGGGCTACCGTTTCCAAAAAATCCTGAGCAACGTGGTGACCTTCTAATAGAATTTGAGGTGTCCTTCCCAGATACTATATCCTCATCATCCAAAGAAGTACTTAGGAAACATCTTCCTGCCTCATAGAATGAAAAACTTTGTTACCCATATTTTGATAAGGCACTGAAAATATAAAAGAACTGGCCATTTACTGATGTAGATGTGAATTCTGTATAAAGACATGTAAATTATTTCGAGGGTTCATTAAATTGCATGAATAGACGGGTCAAATAAAAAGGCAAAAGGGATTTTTACAGTTAGAGAAGAAGAGAAAACCATTCACTGTATTTTATTTCATTTCTCCCAAATCAGAAAATTTTAGTATTTTGCTTACATATAAAACTTGTTTCTGTGGAGTTAGTAGATATATTTCTAATAAAGTACTAGGATATCCAAGTACTTTATTTCTTATATCTTTACATTATCAGTATGATAGGTTCTCATTTATGATGGAAATTTAAATTCTTAACAAAACTATACATGTGATAGGTATTTCTAGAAAGTAAAAACCCAAGTCACTTGGAAATCTAGTTAACTAGATTAAAGTCACCATATGAAATGCTGCTATAGGGCTGGTACCCATAAAAGAATATCCTAATACATATGTTTCACCATTTTGATTTTTAAAGTATGTTGTAGCATTTCTTAATAACATAGTTGTAATGTTCTTAAGGCAGACATTTTCTTCATAAAAAGGATATTAATGGCAATTTATCTCCTGTGGAAATCCCAATTGGCCTGAATTACTGATATTTTAGAAATAGGTTGTTTTTAAAATGCCATATATAATTTTATGCAAGTTGACTATATATCTTGGACTTAATAAATTATAGGTACATTTTATTGTCCACTAGTTAAAAATAATGTTTGATAATAAATGTGTTTTTAGAGGAAATATTGCTACTTGGAATTAATTTTCCAATTACACAGCCTTCTATAACTTACTCATAATATGCTATATGTACCATATGCAATTTCCCTAAAAAGAATAAACTACCACTATGGTGTTAAACCAAAATATGGGGAAAATAAACACTAACTGCTGCTTATGAATGATGTTGCTACTACTTGTTATGCATATAAATATTTTACTTTTTCATATGTATAGATTGCATTCTTAGGTGTTTTAATTTTTTAAATATATTTACGTTTAAAAACTTATTCTGGGGCTTCCCTGGTAGCACAGTGGTTGAGAGTCCGCCTGCCAATGCAGGGGACACGGGTTCTTGCCCTGGTCCGGGAAGATCCCACATGCCGCGGAGCGGCTGGGCCCGTGAGCCATGGCCGCTGAGCCTGCGCTCCGCAGCGGGAGAGGCCACAACAGTGAGAGGCCCATGTACCGCAAAAAAAAAAAAAAAAAAAAGTTATTCTGTTTTCTGTTTTATAGCTATAGTGAGAATGATATTTTGAACCAATGTTTTTGGTTCAAAAGTGATTTTCAGGATGATTGGTATACAAGGTATATTGAGCCCTGTCACCTTTCAGCAGAATATTGTCTTCTTTTAGAAATTCAACACATAGGTTTTAATCACCACATGCTTTACCACTTTATTGAGATATAATTTCACCTGCTAAAAAGTTTACCCTTTTAAAGTGTACAATCCAGTGGTTTTAGTATATTCACAGAGTTGTGCAACCACTTTCTAATTCCAGAACATTTTTATCACCCCAGAAAGAAACTGAATAACCATTAGCACTCACTTCGCATTCCTCCAGCCCCTGGCAAACACTAATCTACTTTCTGTCCCTATGGATTTATCTATTCTGGACATTTCCTATAAATGGCATCAAACAATGTTTGGCTCTTTTTTTTTTTTTTTGGCTTCTTTCACTTAGCATAATGTTTTCAGGGTACATCCATGTTGCATCATGTATCAGTACTTTGTTCTTTCTTTATGGCAGAATAATATTCCATTGTATGATATACCACCTTCTGTTTATCCATTCATTAGTTGATGGGCATTTAGGTTATTTCCACTTTTTGGCTATTATGAATAATGCCACTATGAACATTTTTGTACAAGTTTTTGTGTACATCATTTTTCAATTCTCTTGGGTATATATATACCTAAGAGTAAAATTGTTGGGAATAACCATATACTTTAGTTGCAAGTGGAAAATGCTTGAAAATACCAGAGAATTCACCTAATCATGCATATTATTCCATCTAATTCGTAAATGATTCCTTTATAACTTTTCACTGAGTGACATTTAAAACTCCTTAGGGAAGTAAGAACATCATGGAAATTTTCTCACAGGTCTAAAGAGATAAGAGTTGAAAAGCATCAGTCAGAGTGGTAGGTGTGGTTTCTATTTTAAACCCACTGTTATTTATTGTGATTTTCTTGATTAAGCATTTTCTCCCAAGTTAAATAAATGATTTGTAGATTAGATAGATGGATAATCTTTGGATTAAAAAGTATTTTTTTAAAGTACAGAATTATTCTTCTAGTAGTAAAATTAATTTGCATTGCTATAGAAAAACAGTATATCAATATTTTTCATGTCTTTCAGTATATCAATATCAAATAATGCCTTAGTTTGTAGTAAGTGCCCAATTTTTATTTATTGAATTTGACTTAATGTAAGAGTTTTACAGTTTTCTTATTTACTTAAATTATGAAGGTACTTTTGATTTTAAAATGTTCTCTTTAAATTCAACCAAGTTCTTGGATACCTGGATAGTTTTGAAGTACTGTGGATCTCAGTAAGCTAATTGATAAACATGTTTACCTACCTTTCCTACAACTAAAATTTGATTGGTACATCATCTCTGTAGCTGTTAGAATTTTGGTTTATGTGAATGTAGTTCTTAAGCCATTCTTATAAAGAGGAAACTGGAGATTTGGGAGAGTAAAGTGAATGACAAAGGAAAATGAGACGTTTTGGATGCAACCTTAAGCATGAGAAAACCAGAGGCAAAGAACTCCACTCCTGTTTCTGTTAGAGGGGTGGCACTGAGATGAAGACAAAAAATCTGGACCAGAAGTACTACTGTGACACTAAATTATAACAGGAGATCTGTATCAGAGAAGAGCTTGGGAAATATTTAGTTACGTTCAATAGGTTAAAGGTTGCACAATATTTTTAATCAGTATTTATTTTGCATCTCTGGGACTGGGAATGAAGGGGTTCAAGAGATGGGATTAAGTGAGAATTCTAAAACCTGAAAAATATGAAACATTTGGAATGAGGCTAGGCTTCTTTTTTTCTTAATTGCCTTTCTTCATATACCTGTTATGTCTAACAAAGGAAAAATAAATTTGCAAGCATCTTACTGAAGCTGTGAGAATGAGCGATCCTGAAGAGTTTCTAGGAAGCAGGGACTGACAAGCCATATTTATTCCTAGCTAAAGACTATCACTCTTTTGACTTCGTGCAGCCTTCATTTTAGTGAGCATAAACGCTGAGTTCCGGGCGCAGCCCACCCGAGGGCTGTGCGGCCCCCAGCCCCGACAGGGGGTCCCCGCTCTCCCCAGCTCTGCGCGGCCCCCCTCCCCAGCCTCCTGTAGGACTGGGTGCCAGCTCCGGGCCCACCCACCTCCCGCGCCCCCCGCCCCGACCCTCCGGTTGAGTTCCCCACCCCACGCCCAGGAACACACGCGCCGACCACCTCCCTCCACCGCAACCTCCGGCGACCCCATCGCCCAGACCTCTCCTCTCGCATCCCCGGGTTCTTCGTGCCCTTCGGTGCGTGGGATCCCCACTTCCTCACCCACCCCATCCCGCGCACTCACGGGCTCTCCCGGGGCAGCGCCCAGGCCCGCGCTCCCCAGCGCCTCAGCCTGGCTCAGGCCGGCCGGGCCGACCCACCGGCCGGACGGGAGGGCGGGGCTCTGGGCCTTCTCAGAGGGCCTGGCCGCTGCTGCTGGGCTACCAACCCCGGCGTCCCCAGGTCAGAGTCCCGGAAAAGCGTTAATCTAAAAACCGCTTGACTAGATGACAATTGGGTTAGAAACGCGTATGCTCCAGGCAGGGGTTTCTGAGAGTCTATTCTTCCGTGGGCTAGCTTCAGTTTGGCGGGGGCTTTGATTATTTTTGTCCGTTTCTTCAGAAACTTTCTTTGAGTTGGATTGCTTCTGAACAAGCTTCTAACGTCCAGCAAGTTGTTCCCGTTCTGTGGTGTTTATGGCGGGGCGGGGTGGGGGAGTGGGGTTTGAAACCATCCAGAGATTTCCTGTTTGCGGGCTGTTAAGGACAGAAGGTCAGTTACAAACCGCAGGGTGGCCAGCAGGTGCCCAGGTGTGACCCACACAGCCCGGATCAGTCTCTGCCCCTGCATCTGTATTGGGAGGGTGTGTGTGTTTGTGTGTGTGTGTGTGTGTGTGTGTGTGTGTGTGAGAACTTGGATTTTCTGACTTTTCTGTAATAACCTTGCTTTGCCTTTTGGCGAGGGTGGGGCAGAGCTGGGGGAGGAAGCATAAACTAGAAAAGAAAGGAACCCCGGTATTTTCAAGTTTGGATTTTAAAGTCTCAAATCCAAAAAAGAAAAAGAAAAATCTGACTTCTTAGGGTTCTGCCTAAAACATTTTTTTTTTCCTATAACAACTGAAATTCCTCAGCTAATTGTGTTCCTACCGAATGCTTTCAGAAACATACCTCTCTCAACTGGGGAAATTATATTTTACTCTGGCTTTTATAAATTACACTCCCTTACTTATTAAAACAACCTGGAAAATTGGCACAGCCCACTTCAGAGTAGTAATTATACAATAGGACTAGTTAAACATTTTATGCCTCTTTTTCCAAAATATATATATATTTTTTGCGGTACACGGGCCTCTCACTGTTGTGGCCTCTCCCGTTGTGGAGCACAGGCTCCGGACGCCCAGCCTCAGTGACCATGGCTCACGGGCCCAGCCGCTCCGCGGCATGTGGGATTTTCCCGGACCGGGGCACAAACCCGCGTCCCCTGCATCGGCAGGCGGACTCTCAACCACTGCGCCACCAGGGAAGCCCCTTTTTCCAAAATATTTGACTCATCAATCTTGAAAGAAATTTTTCAGAAGTTAAAACTGGAACACTTAACTGATAATGGGGCCTTAGTATTATTTAAAAATTAGTTGCTGGCTTATATACGTTTATTCTCATTAAGTTTGTAGAAGGTATACATGATGACCAAGTGGGATTTTTTTCTAGGAGTGCAAGACTGGTTTAGTATTTGTAATTTCTCCAATACAGCATTGTTCTCACTCATCTCCTTTGTGTTGGCAAATATACTACATTTCTATATATTATGGTCATTACGTTATATGTATGTTGTTTTATACAATTGCTTTCTAAATCAGTTAAGAGAAAGAAAGGAGAGGAAATAGGATTTGCATTGTGTTTTATAATTACATAATTACCTCTACCAGGGCTCTTTGTTCATGTGGATTTGAGTTACTGTCTGCGGCCACTTGCTTTCAGCCTGAAGATCTTCTGTTAGTATTTCTTGTAATGTGGGTCTGCTATCAACAAATTCTCTCAGTTTTTGTTTATCTGAGAATGTCTTTATTTTGCCTTTATTTTTTGAAAGATAGCTTTGCTGAATATAGGATTCTTGGTTGACAGATTTTTTTCTTGGAGCACTTTTAACATCTTATCCCACTGTCTCTGGTCTCCCTTATTTCCAGTTATAAGTAAGCTGATTTTATTGGGGTTCTTTTGTAAGTGATGAGTAGTTTATCTCTTGCTGCATTCAAGAGTTTCTCCTTGTCATTGGCCATCAGCATTTTTACTATGATGTCTATGGATCTCCATGCTTATCCTGTGTGGAGTTTGTCGACCTTAGTGGATATATAGACTAATGTTTTTCAATAAATTTGGGACGTTTCCAGCCTTCCTTCCTTCCTTCCTTCCTTCCTTTCATTCTTTCTTTTTTTAAGATTTTTTTTTTGATGTGGACCATTTTTAAAGTCTTTATTGAATTTGTTACAATATTGCTTCTGTTTTATGTTTTGGTTTTTTGGCCACGAGGCATGTAGGATCTTAGCTCCCCAACCAGGGATCAAACCCGCACTCCCTGCATTGGAAGGCAAAGTCTTAACCACTGGACCACCAGGGAAGTCCCCAGCCATTATTTCTTTAAATATTTTTTCTTCTCCTTTCTTTCTCTCCTCTCCT